TCAAATCAGGGGTATTTCCCCTAAAAGGCCCCGGACAAACGGCATTGCACAGTCCTGTGTGTGTGGTGGTGGCGGAGAAGGAGGTGGGGAGCACCTTGTTCTTCGAGATGCAGCCGGAGTGCCGCAGTGCCTTGGCCCCCTTGGGTGCTCCTGGCTCACAGAGGGCAGTGCTGTCCTCCATCATCCACTTTTGTAGGGCTGCAGATCCAGTTTGGACCTTGCTTCTAGGAAAGCCAGAGAGCTAGACATTGGCAAGTTGTCCCATACTCCTTAAGTTCCAAGTAGAAACAACTGGGTTGGGGTCTCTTAGATCTATGGGAGCCCAGTCTCTGTCTAGACAGCCACATCCTAGGACCAGCTCTCCGGCAATTCCCGACGGTAACCGAGTGTGTGGGTATTTGGAAGGATGGTGTTATACCTGGTCCTGAGCATCATCCAACACACAAGCCTCTTTGGAGTCACTATGGGAAAATGGAAGAACAGGACCAAGTCACTGTGCTTCGAGAACTTGAGACAAAAAAATAAACTGGGACATAGCTGCATCTCCATTAAGTATATCAAGCAGACATGAAATTTAGCTACATAAGCAATGCATCTACTTACACGTAAGGAGTTGGAAAACAGCACAGCCAAAGCCTTGTATATGTGTTAAAGCATGAGGATATAAGCTAAATTTAAAAAACAAAAAAACAACAACAAAAGGGAGAGGCTGGCTAATCAAATGCTGACCTGAAAAGGACTCAATGAGCATGGGCGAGGGAAGAATGGCCAGCAGGAGGTTTCTTTGGAAAATGGCATTAAAAAAAAAGATGAAAGGCAGACTTACACTGAGACACACAGAGATCTTCCATCTGCTGGTTCACTTCCTGAATGACGGCAACAGCCAGAGCTGGGCCAGTCTGAAGCTAGGAGCCAGGAGCTTCTTCCAGAGCCATTCTCTGTTGCTTTTCCAGACCACTGCAGGGAACTGAATCAGTAGTTGCCTCAGCCTGGTCTGCCCTGCATCATCGCAGTCCTCTGAGGAATGAACCAGGAGATGGGATATCCTCTATACTTCTCAAATTAAAAAAGGGTTTTTATAAAAAAAAATTAATACATATTTCTTTTTATTGGAAAGGCAGACTTATACAGAGAAGAAGAGACAAAGATTTTCTGTCCACTGATTCACTCCCCTAAGTGGCCGTCATGGCCAGAGCGGAGCTATCTGAAGACGGGAGCCAGGAGCTTCTTCTGGGTCTCCCACACTGGTTCAGGGTCCCAAGGTTGTGGGCCATCCTCTACTGCTTTCCCAGGCCACAGGCAGGGAGCTGGATGGGAAGTGGGATCATAATCCCAGCTGCTCCCAGTGTGTAAGGCTAGGAATTTGCCACTGAGCCACATGCCAGGCCCATGTTCTGTATTTAAAGATTTATTTATTTTTATTGCAAAGTCAGATACACAGGAGAGACAGGAAGATCTTCTGTCTAATGATTTACTCCCCAAGTGACTGTAACGGCCGGTGCTGCACCAATCCAAAGCCAGGAGCCAGAAACTTCCTTCAGGTCTCCCATGTGGGTGCAGGGTCCCAAGGCTTTGGGCCATCCTTAACTGCTTTCCCAGGCCACAAGCAGGGAGCTGGATGGGAAGTGGGGCTGCCGGGATTAGAACTGTCGCCCATATGGGATCCTGGGGCGTTCAAGGCTAGGATTTTAGCTGCTAAGCCTCCGCACTGGACCCATTTTGTTTTTGAGAAGCAGAAAGAGAATCTTCTACCTGTCGGTACACTCTCCCAAATACCTGCAATAGACAGGGTAGACCAAGGCAGACTCCATGAGCCAGAAACCGCATCCCAGTCTCCTAGTGTGGGTAGCAGGAACCTGAGAACTTGGGCTATCATCTGTTGCCTGGGCACATGTAAGGTGGATAAGAAGAGGAGGTGAGACTGAATCCAGGCACCCTGATAGAACCCTGCAGATTACCCTGCTGTGCCACAGTGCCTAGCTTCCCCACCTGCACCACAAGTTTGTAAATGAGAGATTTAGGCCAGGAAAAAAAATGGCAAGAAATGCTGAGGGTTTTTTTTTCTGTTGTTGTTTTGTGCCGGAGTCCAGCTCCAGCTGAGTTTGGAACTCGCGAAGGGTGCGTGGATGAGGCGCAAAGAGGAAAGAAAGAGACGGACCACTAGGACTTCATGATCATAATGGACAATGCACAGAAGCTGTCCGCTTTATTTATACAATGGTCAAGTGGGTGTTTCTAAGGATAATTCTGCCATTTGTTTTACCTAAAAACAATAGAAATTCCTGCTACAATTCTTACTCTACAACTTAATCTTGTATCACAAAGAAAAGGAGAACCTAAAGAATGAAACCCTAAATGCAGGTCCTTTGAATTAGCATAAGGGGAGAAATGTATCACAAAGAAAAGGAGAACCTAAAGATCAAGGAAAGAATGAAACCCTAAACACAGGTCCCTTGATTAGCAAAGGTTCAATGGGGACAGCCAAGACAGTAGGAATGATAAAAGGCCCCATTTGCAAGACATTGACCTCCAAGCTCAGGCTGAGCAAAAGGTTAACCTCGCAGTAGCAAATGCCAGGATGGATTAGAATTCTTCCGCAGGGCGGTCCAGTGTCCATGCAAAAGAAGGTGGAGTTGCATTCAGGTGGTTGTAGAGACATCCGCAGGGTGGGCCCTGCCGAACAGCAGGAAGTTCCTCGCGGCCCTGCCTGCAATGGAACACTCTTCACCCCCTCATGTCCCCCACATCTACTGCACGGACCCCAGCAGTTTTGTTTTGTTTGTCAAGGACAAAATGGTTCACAGTCCTGACTGGAAGCTGGTGCCTAAAGCAGCTCATGGCCAGCCCTGATAAAAAAAAAAAAAAACTCCTAACTTGATGATTTTCTCGTCCCTAGCACCTGCTTCGGACAGCCTTCAACTCTAGGTTACGGTAGCTTCTGCCTGCCCATTCAGGAGCCATGGTCGTCTGGAGCTGACAGGCCCAAGCCGTAGATGAAGGTAAAAGGAACAATTCCTTTCCCAGGACCTGCCCTCGTAAGAGAAAGTCACCAGACCTGTCTAGTGCAAGAAACCAGGTCACCTCCAGAGTCGAGGGCAGTCACTCGCCCTGGCCTGGTCTCTGCCCAGTGTGGAATCTTGAAGCCAGACACACCTCCGGCAAAGGAAGGGAGAAAATACGGGACCCAGAGGCATCGGGGTGTTTCCTGCAAGCTTCCCCTGTGGGATTAGCTGTGACCAGAACCCTTCAGTCTGGCGTCCCATGGGTGTGGCCAAACCTAAGTCTCCAGCGAGTAGCATTGTGGTACAGCAAGTTAAGCCACTGTCTGTCACGCTGGCATTCAACAGGGGCACTGGTTCATGTCCCAGCTACTCCACTTTAGTCCAATTCCCAGCTAATGCACTAGGGAAAGCAGTGGAGGATAGCCCAAGTGTTTGGGTCTCTACACCCACGTGGGAGACCTGGAAGAAGCTCCTGGCTTAGTCCCTGGCCCATCCCTGGCTGTTCTGGCCATTTGGAATGTTAAGTGGCTGATGATTCTCTCTCTCCTTTCAAATAAATAAATAAATCTTACAACAAACAAACAGACAAAACTCCTCCGGGGAACCTGATGAGGCTGGCCTGAGATCCGTCAATCTTAACAGATGGAGAAGTGACCTCGGACTTTTAGGTGGTTCAACCAATGCGCAGCTCAGCTGTGCTGATTCAGTTTATTCCGCCTAGGGTCAAGAGACGCCGGCTGAGTCCCATTTGTATTGATGCTGGGAGGACTAATCAACAGCTGGGATTCATTGGGCAAGAATTAACTTAGGTGCCTTTCTCTTCTCAAATCTCCCAGCAACTCTGCGAGCTACTGTTTTCCGGTGTCCCCTTTAAAAAGAAGACACAACAGTAAGGTCCAAGTCGACTGGGGAGTTTGACTCCCAGAACCTCCGATGTTCATCCAGGCCCCTCATGACACACAGCGAAACTGAGGCCCAGGAAGCCAGAATGGCTTTTTCAAGGTGACAGCCCTTGTCATGCGGAAGCCCCTTCGGATCAGGCTGCCTGGACTCTTAAGGGACATCTGTGGGCCTTTTTCCCATCCCCGCCTATACCCGGTCCGCTCCCGTCCGGTCAGGCCCGGCCCGGCCCTGGCACCGCCTGGGGAGCCCATGACTCAAAGGGGAGGGGCTGCATTTTGCCAACGGCCCCTCCTCAACTCGCTGCCCCGAAGGAGCCGGGCTCTCGGGTCGGGCGGGCGACAACTTGTCTGAGCGAAACCTGGAAAGCGCCGCCTCCGGACGCCGGGCCGGTGGTGGGGGACGCCGTTCAGTCAGCCAGCCAGCAGCCGGGCGGCGGGAACGTTGGCTCCGCAGCTCATTCCCCCATTGGCCACCTGAGCCGCGAGGGCGGGACCCCGCGAAACTCTCTCCCGTGATTGGTCCGTGCCGGCCTCCGACCCCGCCTCCATGGGGGCAGACCGACATGGCGTGGTGGCCTCGGGTACCCGGCGTGTTGCTGCCTGCCGGAGAGCGGAGGCTGCGGGCTGGCCCGGCTTCGCTCCCCGCGGCGGTTCCCACCCAGCTGGTTCTTCCTCCGCACCCTCAGACGCTGTGGGGGTGTTCCTCTCTCCTCCGATCTGAGCTTTTAATCGAGGCGCCATGCCTCTGCCTCACGTCTTACACCTCTTCACCCGCTTTCGAGTGTGCATTTGGAGGTGCCCGGCCCCTCACCTCGCTGTGCTTTCACTTCATCCCAGACTTAGCCGCGTGCCTCCCGTCCCGAGGGACCCTCTCTCCTCAGCCCAAGGCAGGCGCCTCTGCACCGCCTTCGCTCTCTGAGACTCCCGGGGACAGTCCATTTCGAGGCTGCCCAGATGAGGAGGGCGCGAGTCCCGCCTCTGGCCTCATCCTCCCTCCCTAGGACCCCCAAATCTCTCCCGCTCCCCCCCAGGGAAGCCAGAGTTTCTGTGACCCCTCTCCCAGCCCAGCGCCAATAACTGGAAACGACCTGCGGAGTGAATGTCACGGAGTTTATTGAGCGGAGCCGGCCCCACCCAGCGGACACGCTTTCCCTGGTTGCTCCCTCACAGTCACACGCGCACCCCATCTCCAGCCTCAGCCGCAGGGTGGGCTGCTCCTCACTTCCTAAGAGCCAGAGGCTGCAGGGGAAGGAGGGAGGTGAAGCCAGAGGCTCAGGGGTGGGCTGAAGGGGAAGGGGTGCAGAGAGCAGGGGCGGTTGGGGCACCCCCCGGAGCTGCAGGAAGGGCGGGACCCCATCACAGCCCCGGGCAGTCTTAGCTCTGCGGGCCCCTTCTCCAGGGAACCTTTCTGAGTTGGGACAGCCACAGTGAGGGGAGCAGGATGGGGCCTCCCACCCAGTATTAGTCCGCTCGGCAGGGCGTGGGGACCGAGAGGGCAGGGCAGGGCAGGGCAGGGCAGGGCGGCAGCGGGTGAGGCTCAGCTCTGGGGCTCCTCGGGCACCTCCACGCCCTCTTCTCCGGCGTTGTCGGCTGTCCACAGCGTCAGGTTGTCTCGCAGCAGCTGCATGATGAGGGTGCTGTCTTTGTAGGAGTCCTCGCTGAGGGTGTGCAGGTCAGCCATGGCTTCGTCGAAAGTGGTCTTGGCCAGCGTGATGGCCTCCTCGGGGCTGTTGGCAATCTCATAGTGGAAGACGGAAAAGTTCAGGGCCAGACCCAGGCGGATGGGGTTGGTGGGCGGCATCTCCTTCTTGCTGATGTCCATGGCCTCCTGGTAGGCCGACCGGGCAGAGTCGATGATGCGTTTCTTGTCATCGCCGGTGGCCACCTCGGCCAGGTAGCGGTAGTAGTCTCCCTTCATCTTCAGGTAGAAGACCCGGCTCTCGGCATCGCCGGCCTTCTTGATGAGGTGGGTGTCCAGCAGGCCCAGCACGGTGTCACACACACCCCGGAGCTCCGTCTCCACCTTCTCCCGGTACTCACGCACTTCGGGGCCCTGCTCTTCTGAGCCTTCCTCGGTGCTTTTCTGCTCAATGCTAGACAGGACCCTCCAGGCAGCCCTCTGGCCGCCCACCACGTTCTTGTAGGCCACCGAGAGCAGGTTTCGCTCCTCACAGGAAAGCTCCTCGCCCTTTTCCACGGCACCCTTCATGAAGGATGCCATGTCCTCGTAGCGCTCAGCCTGCTCGGCCAGCTTGGCCTTCTGGATCAGATTGGCTCTCTCCATGGCTCTGGGGGACAGACAGATGGGTGGCGGGACTATCTGGCTCCCTGGGGACCAAGGCTGGACTCTGTGCTTCTCCTGCTCTCAACCTGCCTTTTGGCTGGGTGGCTTGGCCTGGGCAAGGATGGGGAGGGGCAGGGGGCGGGACCTGGGGCTCAGCCAGCCTGCCCCTTCTCCCCGCACCCTTTCCGGCTCTTCCTTAAAGGTAAAAGGGCCGGGATGTGGGGATGAGTCATCAGAACAGTCTGCAGAAGAAATCTGGGCGTGGGCCCCACCTTCGCGGGCACCTTCCTGGGCTCCGGGCTGCCCTCTTCTGTTCAGAGCTGCCACCATACAGGTGTGCACTTAGCAAGGCGATGGATGTGCCCTTCCTGGAGGTAGGGATGGCTTTAGCCATCTGGGGCCTTTGGCTTAGACAGGGCCCACGAGGAAATGTAAATGCAAGAAGATGGGGGTCCTAGCCTTGCTGGGTGTGTGGCCTCTGCCCCTAGCTCAGGTGAGTTGGCTCATGTTTGGACCAGGCTGTTCCCTGAGGACTGTCAAATTCATAACCTAATATAGTCCCCACCAAAGTAAAATGTGCTGGGCTGACAAGGCGGGAGACTCCTCCCCGGACTGGGACTTGCTCCAGGTCACAGTGCTACCAGGCCACTAAAACTGGTCTGCACCTGACTTCCTCTGGTATTTTCCCCATTGGCTTTCCCCATGCCAGGTCCCCTGCCCCTTGAGCTAGAAGTCGGATCCAGGCTTCTCCCTGAGTCTACAGGAAGATAGCTGCAACCCCTCAGGTCCTCACACCCCTCCAGGTCCCCTCTAAAACTCCCAGAAGGCACCAGTGGCAGCTTCAGGGTGCTGCCTAATGAAGCATTTAACAAGCAGCCTCTGACGCTCCAGCCCGGCCTTTGTAATTAGTCACCCTGTAGGTTTGTCGGACACCTTCCCCTTCACAGCACAATTTTCCCTTTCAAGTTGGTGGCTTGCTGCCACATGTTGCAGGACTTACCCCATGGCTCTTCATGCCAGTCACCTGCCCCCTCCGAGCCACCTGCCAGCACACATCAGCAGAGCTCCCAGAGGGGTGGGGGCTCCCACTCTCCTGCCTGACTCAGCTTGCTCTGTCAGAGCTGGGAAGCAGGCCACCTGGGTGCTCCGTCCAGTTTGGTCCCCCAGGGGTGACGCCAGCAACCTGGGGAGAGACAAGGCTGTGGAAAGGGAGGTGATGGTGACACATACAATTTTGTTTTACGGGGCAGCAATCGTAGCTGAATGATGCCTCCCCCAGCCTGTCTCTACAGAAGTTCCTGTGTCCCTTCCCCTGGACCATGGCCCCAGCTCTGACCACGACAGAGGTGTCAGAGCAGGAGACTCCTGTTCTCTGTTGCCAATATTCTCTCCCTGTCTGCCAGGTCCCCATCCTCAAGTTTCATCAAGTTTTTTTTTTTAAGATCTATTTACTTTTATTATAAAGGCCAATCAGATTTACAGATAAGAGACAGAAAGATCTTCCATCCACTGGTTCACTCCCCAAGTGGCTGCAACAGCCAGAGCCAATCTGATCAGAAGCCAGGAGCCAGAAGCATCTTCCAGGTCTCCCATATAGATACAGGGTACCAAGGTTTGGGCCATCTTGACTGTTTTCCAAAGCCACAGCAGGGATGGGAAGTGGAGCAGCTGGGACATAAACCAGCGCTCATATGGGATCCTGGTGCTTGCAAGGTGAGGATTTAGCCATGGTGCTGAGCCCTGACTGAGTTTTTTACCTTGGCATTGAGCCTAGCAGGGTGGGTGTCTACTTATCTGCCCTGCCCGTAGTCGAAGCTTAGATGGGACTCAGGGGTGCGGTTCTCCAGCCTGGGACTCAGCCAGCTTAATCCCTGAGTCGGGACCATTTCACAGGCCTTTGTTTGGACCAGTTCCTCTTGTGCCTGCACATTCACCTGGGCCAGAACTTACAGGGCCAAGGATGACATCTGCCTCTCTGCTGCAAGATAAAGGAAGGATGTGTTTGGGCCAGCACTTCAGGCTTTCCAAGGAACCGGAAGGGCTTTTAGCTTTGACATCCTGACTACTCTTAGATAGGAACAGCAATGCAGAAGACACTGCCAGGACCAAGCTCACGTACCGATTCAGCCAGAGGATCTGGGGTGCAACTCCCAGGGGTTTGTTTTTTTTTTTTCTTTCTCCCCTTTGGATTTTGTAGTTCTCTCCCAGTTATTCATGGTGCACATGTATTATTATGCTGTGAGAGACAGAACAGCCTAGCATTCAGGCAAATCAGAGTGCGTGAATGTTATTCTTACGAACTGCGTGGTGTTGGCCAAGTGGCTTAACCTCTGTGAGCCTCAGGTCCTAACAGTGCAGCATGGGGCTTCTTGTGATTTTCAACGAATTAGCACTTAACAACTTCTGTGTGAGCCAGCCCAGCCAGCTCTAGAAACATACATACATAAAGTACTACCATAGAACTGGGTGCTGGGAGCAAGGACAGGTACAAACCCGGCTATACCAAATCCCAGGCCCAGCTGAGTGTCCGCAGGGATGGCGAGGGGGCAGTTGGCCCACAGCCTTCCCTCTTGGTGTATGGTCAGGCGCACTCAGCATCCTTCTCTCCCTGTGACGTGGCAGGCTCTGGGCTCGCAGGGAATCTACCTATGTGCTAGTCAGCCAGCCTGGAGGGGAAAGCTAGACAAATCCCAGGACACAGAGACTCTGGAAGGCAGGGCCTAAGAATTGTGGGGTTTGGGAGCACCTTCTGAATCCAAGGGGGCAGTTTCTTCTTAGCACTTCAGCCAGGAGATCCGCTGCAGACCAGGAACTGCCCATCTCAGCACATGCCCGAGTAAGGCCAAAGGGATCCCTCTCACTTCTCCTCCTGCGCGGCTGAAGGTCAGGGATGTCTGACACCTTCTACCCGCTCTAGCCTGTTGCTCCTGACTCAGTTCCTGTCTCAGGCACCTCCCTTTGCCTCTAGGCGTCCATTTCCCAAGCCCAGGAGCCCGGGCAGGCAGGAGGCAGCAGGCCCTAGCAGGGCACTGAGCTTCACTGTCAGCTGCCTGAGTCAGCATGCAAGAGCTGGGGCTGCAGCCCAAAGGGGCTTTCCTCATCTGCCTGTTGCCTCTGCACACTTGGACAGAGGAGCCAGCCTGGCAGCAGGCTCTGGGTTCCCGGACTCAGGGTTAAGCGGTCCTTTCCGCCAACAGTAACATGATTTGAAGGGTTGGAACGCTGAGAAGGCAGCACCCAGCTGCTGTGGACCTCCACAAAGAGAACACAGGTGGGCACTGGCTGCAGGCGCCAGGAAGCCACATTTCACATCAGTGTCCCTAGATTTGGGTCCTGGATCCATTTACAGACCAGTTTCTTACTAATGTGCACCCTGGGAAGCAGCAGAGATGGTCCCTGCCCCTGTCAGTCAAGACTGAGTTCCTGGTCTCTGACTTCAGCCTAGAGAAATGACCAGCAGATGGAAGATTCTCATTCTCTCCTTTTAAGATTTATTTTTTTAAAAAGATTTATTTAGGGCCCGGCGCGGTGGCGCAAGTGGTTAAGTCCTCGCCTTGCACGCCCGGGATCCCATATGGGCGCCGGTTCTAATCCCGGCAGCCCCGCTTCCCTTCCAGCTCCCTGCCTGTGGCCTGGGAAAGCAGTCGAGGACGGCCCAAAGCTTTGGGACCCTGCACCCGCGTGGGAGACCCGGAAGAGGCTCCTGGCTTCGGATCGGCATAGTATCGGCCCGTTGCGGCTCACTTGGGGAGTGAATCATCGGATGGAAGATCTTCCTCTCTGTCTCTCCTCTCTGTATATCCGCCTTTCCAATAAAAAATAATAAAAATAAATCTTTAAAAAAAAAAAAAAAAAAAGATTTATTTATTTATTGGAAAGTCAGATGTACAGAGAGGAGGAGAAACAGAGAGGAAGATTTTCCGTCCGATGATTCACTCCCCAAGTGAGCGCAACGGCAGATGCTACGCCAATCCAAAGCCAGGATCCAGGAACTTCTTCCGGGTCTCCCACACGGGTGCATGGTCCCAAAGCTTTGGGCCGTCCTCGACTGCTTTCCCAGGCCACAAGCAGGGAGCTGGATGGGAAGTGGAGCTTCTGGCATTAGAACCAGCGCCCATATGGGATCCCGGTGCGTTCAAGGCGAGGACTTTAGCCGCTAGGCCACGCCACTGGGCCACGCCGCTGGGCCCTATTTTATTTTATTTTTTTTATTGCAAAGTCAGATAAACAGAGAGGAGGAGAGACAGAGAGGAAGATCTTCTGTCTGTTGATTCACTCCCCAAGTGGCCACAACAGCTGGAAGCTGAGCCAATCCGAAGCCAGGAGCCCAAAGCATCTTCTGGGTCTCCCATGTGGGTGCAGGGTCCCAAGGCTTTGGGCTGTCCTCCTCTGCTTTCCTAGGCCACATGCAGGGAGCTGGATGGGAAATGAGGCTACCGAGATTAGAACTGGAGCCATATAGGATCCTGGGGCGTGTAAGGTGAGGACTTTAGCTGCTAGGCTACTGCACAAGGCCGTATCCCTGTTAATTATAAGAGCTCACTCCAGTAGCTGTCTTGGGGAAGGTGTGTTAAATTTCTTCTAAGTCAATCAGCTGTTTCTGAATCTTTCTCTTCTCAAGACACTGCTGTATCCCACATCTAAACCAGGCCAGTAGAGGAGACAGTGAAGCACTTATGGAGGGAATGGGATGAGATCAGAGTGTGGGACTGTACCCTGGCTCTGCCATAAGGCCCCGGGCAGGTCCCTTCCTGCCTCTGGGACTGTTTCTCCATCAGCATGAGGGGGCTGGCCCCAATTATCTCAGCCCCTGCCACGAACAGGAGTCTTTAGGATTCCCTGAGACCGCATCCTGCCACAGCTATGCTCATCCGTGTGTGTGTGTGTGTGTGTGTGTGTGTGTGCAAATGAGTCAGGTGTTCTGGAGAGAGCTTGGGTTCCAATCCTAGATTTGCTGCTTTGCCAGCTGGGTAACTTGGGCAGCCCCTGTAATCCCAAAGCTTTACTTCCTCCCCTCCTGGGTAAAAAGATGAGAAAACAGACTAAAGACAGATGCCTGACAAGCCCTTACTAGATGGCAGGGGTCATTTTTTAGCTCTTGGTGTGGGTGTGGGTGTGTCTTTTCATGTGGGACAGTGTCACTGGAGAGAAAGAAGGTTCCACAGAGGGCTACCCTGGTTCAGGCTGTGACAGTTCTAGACTGCAGGAGGAACAGCGGTCAGTGAAGGCTTAGAGACCTCCAGAGTTGGGAGCTGAATGCAGGTCCGCCCCCACCCCACCCCAAGGTAGCACCACACAGTCAGGCTATGGCAAGAATGGGGGAATCTTTATTTGGTTGTACAAGGTACAGGACAGCAGGAGAGGCCCCTCGTGTGGGCGCAGCCCGTTTTCCTGGGCCAGGCCCAGTTTCCTTTAGTGCCTCCAAAAACTTGGGTTTGTGCAGAGTTCACTCAGTCCCTCAGAGTCTGGAAAGAGCAAAGGGTACAAGCGCCCTCCTCGCAGCCTGCCCGCTCCGGGGCGGAGGGCGTGGGAACAGCGTCAAGCCCTTCGTGCTTAGAACAGTCACCAAACTTGTTCAGCAGCGTCGGCAACCACCACCACCCAGATGGCAGACCTGCTGGGCTTGACCACGGCCGTGCCTGGGGGAGGGGGGCCAGGCTATAGGGCAGGAAGGAGAGATTCCTAGAGTCTTGCTGCCTCACCTGGCTGGGGAGGGGGAGTGAGGCGGAGGAAGGAGGGAGGCTCAGCGGAGTATGGCACTGTGCTGCCGCAGTCTTATGGCTTTCAACACTCCACTGGCATGGAGGGGGAGCAGGGGCAAAGAGGCTGGCTCCTGGTCCCTGTGCGGAGCCCTAAAGAGCACACAGGTAGGGCAGGTGGGCGGGGGGAGGGCAGACCCTGTAGGCACAGATGGTGGCAGACGGGCCACAGGTTAGGCAGGTGGAGGTGCCGGGGGCCTGGCTCCTCCCAGGCCACTCCTGGAGAGGCAGAGAGCAGCAGTCCTCAGGAGTTCCTTAAGCCCTCGCACACACTGCACACACCGGATGTTCTGGGCAGGATGGCAGAGGAGGAGAAGAGAAAGGGTTAGCAGGGCTGGGAGGATAGGGGTGGCCTGCAGGACCCCACGTGGTGCGGGACAGAGGCTGTCACAGCACCTGTCGTTCCCCTGGGGAAAGACCAAGGCTCGGGAAGCAGGCAGTGAAGCAAGAGAAAAAACAGGCAGGTGAGAGAAAGCCGGGCAGGGGCAGAAAGCCAGGAGAGCTGTGTTAGTGACCGACGGCCCTAGAGCAGGACAGCACACCTCATGGCAGCCTCCCCTCCCCTCCCAGCGTGAGAGCTGCTCTGTGCAAAGCTACCTCCTAGTACAGACCGGGCAGGGCCTCTACCCCAGGCCCTCCTGCTCAGCAGGGAGCCTGGAGCCCTACCACCATCCAGCACACACACACCACACACCAGACAGATGGATGAACTCCGTGGCAAGGCATGCGATGAGAATGAGATGGCGTGTGAGGGGAGTGGGCAGTGCTGGCTGATGGGGGCGATATGGTCTTACCAGCTAACCCTCTGCAAAGAGGCCTGTTAGCTCCCCTCAGGCTGTGCAGGAGATGGCAAAATCCTGACAGGTGTCTTCCTGGGGGAGATACCAGAGAGGTGGGCCCAGGTTATGAGTCATCTGGCCAGGCCCTGCCGCCCAGGCAGGGTGGTGGCCGGGGAGACTGTGGCTTCCACAGAATCTAGAGTTTCCAATGACAGTGGACAGGCAGCGAGGGAAGGAAGTGGCAATCTCCAAGCCCCTGAGGCAAGGAAAGGTGGAGGGGACAGGGTGGCCTTTTGTTAGGGCTCTGGGTCACCCCCACTTCCCCATTCCACGCTGTCCGCTAGCCGCAGTCAGCTGCCTCCTATGTCTCCCCATATTTGAAAGAACTTAGGGCTGCCAGCAGGGGCCTCAGCAAAGAGAGCAAACATAAACCAAACCAAAGCAAATCAACTCTTCAAAACCAAAGTTTTATTACAAGCAGGAACAAAGGATACTGGCTGAACTAAGAGGCCCATGGGAGCCCCTCCCTCTGGCTGGCTCCCTCCCTGTTCCCAGGGCCCTGGGGTGGGGCAAAGCTGCTTCTCCCACAGCAGGCCCCTCTGTGGCTGCCACTGCCCAGCTGTGACCTGGAAGCTTCTGCAGCAAGGCAGGGCAAGGGCCAGTGACTTCCTACGTCATTTTCCAAGGCTTCAGGCTCCCAGAAGGGTGAAGAGGGGTGCTTTCGGTACAATTCTCTGCCTACTGGATGGGAAACTACAGCTCCCACCACAGGGACGGCCTGCATTCCTGGCCCAGACTGGGACCCTTCCCCACTCGCCTCTAGGCCCACCCTGCTGCTTCTCTTGTCTTTTCCTCGGGATGGACCCCCCCCCCGTTGGCACAAACACATCCTGTCCTCCAGTCTCTGGCACTGGGTCCCAGACTACAGAGCATGGGAGAGGGCGTGTGGTTTACAGAACAGCAGCCATCACCCCACCTACCCACCCGCCCACTTGCCCGCCTGTCTGGGCAGATCCCAGCTGGACGCCTGACTTGAGGCTGGGGGCCACGGGTAGCCCGATCCCAGGGGTCTCTTAGGACCAGTTACTCCCTGTCTCCATGGCTCAGGGGGTGGGGCAGCCAGGGAATATGGGAGCCAGTCACACTTGTACAAGGGCACATGTGACCAAATGCGCACATACACATACGCACACATACGCCCCTTCTTTCACAGCCAGGTCTCCTATAATAAATTACGACAACCAGCCAGCCTTCCGACAAGCCTTTGCCTGGCACTACAGTGATAGCCATATAACTAACTGTCTTATCCTTCCACTTAAAAATGCTATGTAGAAAAAGCTTTATAAAATTGTGCAAAATACCCAGCATTAGTAAACCCATTTCAAGTATTGCCAGTAAGAATATAAACTACCCTGCCCGAGTCCTTACTTAGGTGGGAAGTGTGGGGGTCAGGAGGTAATGGCTGGGGTCCCTTAAGAAAGTCCCCCCTTGGATGGGAGGGTGTACAGAGGGTGAAGTTTTGGGTGTCCACTGGGCTTTCTGTGACACACGCTGTCTCCTGGCCCCCCAACCCTGTTCCCTCCACGGAACCCCAGCACTATTCCTACTGGTCAATTCCATACCAGGAGAAATGAGCACCCGTGAGGAGAAGTGAGTGCAGGAGCCCCTAACCACAGCAGCTCCCGGGGGAAGGGAGGGGGCTTCCTGCCCTGCAGTCCTGCATCACCAGAGGCCCAAGCAGTGCCCCCCACTGGGAGGCCTCACGCTCAGTCTGCACCCTCACTCACACAGGCAGGGACTTGGCATGGTCCCCTCGGCAGCGGGAACCTGGACTTGGGGAGCAGAGGGTACAGCCACAGCAGTTGGAGGAAAGCCACGCGGGGCAGGAAATAAATACAAAATGACTTGAGTCTCTGGCAGCTCTGCTTCTCTTGGATGGAATGGGAAGGGTCCCGGCAGGTGTGGAGCGCGGGTGAGTGCGGAGGAGTGGACAGACCAGCATGTGGCAAGTACTGAGCCCCTCTCAGGGGTGGCCTCCTACCATGCGGGCATCAGGCTTGGCTCTGCAGGCTGGCTCATCACTTCTGACGGGCGAGGGCAACACGGTGTCCGGCTGCACAAATCCCCTCCGGTCAATCAGGCTTCCAAAACACAAGAGGGCAAGGCACAGGTGAGCTCACAGACCCCAGGGGCTGGAAGGCAAAGCTTGCCTCCCTAGACCCAGTTCTAGAAAGGTCAAGGAAAGGGGAGCTGCTCTCCACTTGGCAGCTCCAAACCCTCCCCTTCTGGAAGGCTTCTCTCTGACCGCTCGCCAGCTGGCTTTTGGCCACAGAATTGATTCACAGATAAATCAATTCAAACTGGCCCACCTGCCTGTCTGCCAAACCAGGCTGCAGGTACACAGGGAGAGATATGGAGATAGTGAGACTCCCACTGTGCCTTCCCGCCTCAAGAAGAGTGACAGGAACACTGGGCCGGGGAAGGGAAGGGAGCAGAGGGCACCCGTGTGGGCAGGTTTGGCCCCAGCAATGCAATTCCTGTTCTGGAGCTCTGGCGCCCCCTGGTGTCAGGATGGACAGGGAGTTACTCACAGGGCTCCCTTCTGCTCAGAGAGGGTCAAGCTCTCCTCCCACCCACCCATGCCGGAATGGGTATCCCTGTAAATAACCAACACCCTCTGAGCAGCATGGCCTCAGCGGGCACTGGGACCGCTCGGGCAGCCCCCGGCTCACCTGGGGGGTAGGGGGCCACAGAGCACAGCACAGCAGTTGGTGATAATACTTTTATGGCTGTAGGGGTTGACAGAGGCCTCACCGCCCCTCTTGCTGGACCACGAGCCTTTGATCTGCAAAAAACAGAGGTCTGCTCAGGTGCCTTCTTTGAAAGCGTCCCCTTTCTAGAAGGAAGTTCTGAGGACAGGGCAGGCCAGATAATTCTAAAGGGATTCTGGCTAGACTACCGGAGGGACAGGTCTCTAACACAGGTCATTCACTGAGGGGGTGGTGGGGTGGGCAGCAGTCATCCGGAGCTCTCAGTCAGGACAGGGCCAGAAAACAACACCTTTTTGTTGTTGTTGACTCTCTTCTTCTCTGGCTGGCCACCCAAGGCGGAGGCTCATTAACAGGTGTGCACCAGGCTGGGAGCCCTGGCCTCGCCGTTCTGGAGCAGCATAGCCCTGACTGGGTCCCTCACTGGACCGTGAGACGGGGAGTGACACCACCCTCAGCTGAAGTGCCAGCAGGTCAGAGGCCATCATGCCCGTCTCCAGCCAGGGGACGTCGGCTACCCACGAAGGCTCCGAGGAGTGTGGACAAGACCAGGCTGACTGGAAGCCAGAATGTCCTTGAGTGATTTGACCGCGACACTCCTTTTGGCTTAAGTGCTGGGGAGATCCTGCCGAATGAGCACCCAGGAGATCACTGTGGGGGCCACTGGCTGATGTCACTTCTGTTCCCGGCCATGATCACTCAGCCCATTGTGCCTGTCCTGTGTTTCGCCTCCTTCCAGGAGGCACATTCGGTACATATTGCTGTCGGATGGAGCGTCCCTGACCAGGACCAGGAGCTGAGAAGGATGCGCTCCTTCACCTCAGTGTTCGGAGGACGGGCAGTGAAGGTCAGCTGCGGCCCACGCCTGCTGCCCAACCAAGGCTTGTTGGTTGGTGGACTGCCAGGCAGCGAGCGGGTAAGGGAGGCTCCATGGGTCCTATTGGCCTGTCCTGGCTGACCCCTCCATACGGACGCCCTGAGACAATCCTGCCCTGGCCAAGCAGAAGGAATACCAGGGTGAGGGTGCTGCAGCTTGGCCACATTGGCATCTCAAGTCTCCTGGCGCCGGGCTGTGAGTGCAGGATGATACCCGGCCGAGCTTTGCTGCCACACATCTTTCCAGTGGTCTGCCAGGCAGGACTGCACCTTGGCATCTTTAGGCAAACCCCCTCAGCCCAGCCTCCTCCCTGCCTGAGCCCCAGGGCTGCCCCCGCTGTACTCACATCTTCATTAGTCGTCAGGTTGGAGGCGACGAGGTATGTGTGAAACCCTGAGAGGCCCAGGATGGACCAGATGGAGAAGAAGCAAATGACCAGCTCCAGCACGATGAGCGCCGTCAAGGACCAGATCAGAGGCAGGGCCGGCTGGGGGCTACCTTCTCACTTATCCCTTGCAGAGCTAGTCCCTGGGGAGCGGACACTTAGGGGTCCTCAGGAAGGCTTGGAAGCTGCTCTCAAGAGCAAGGCTTGGCCAGGGAGATGGACGGCAGAAGGCACTGAAGGGCCGACACAGCTTCCGGCATGACAGAGTCCAAGGAGCTTGGGGCCATAAGGGACAGGCTCTCAGACCGGAGCAATAGCCTAGTAGCTAAATCCTCATCTTGTATGTACCAGTTCGTATCCTGGTTGTTCCACTTCCCTTCCAGTTCCCTGTTGGGGGCCTGAGAAAGCAATTAAGGATGGCTTAAAGCCTTGGAACCCTGCACCCATGTGTGAGACCCGGAAGAAGCTTCTGGCCTTGGATTGGCTTAGCTTTGGCCTTGTGACTACTTGGGGAGTGAACCAATGGGTGAAAGATCTCTTTGTCTCTCCTACTCTCTGTATATCTGCCTTTCCAATAAAATAATAATAATAAAAAAATTAAAGATTTCCCATCTGCTGATTCACTCCCCAAGTGGCTGCAATGGTTGGAAGCTGAGCTGATCTGAAGCCAGGAGCCAGGAGCTTCTTCCAGGTCTCCCATGCAGGTGCAGAGTCCTAGGGCTTTGGGCTGTCCTTGATTGCTTTCCCAGGCCACAAGCAGGGAGCTGGATGGGAAGCGGGGCTGTTGGGATATGAACCAATGCCCATATGGGATCCTGCTGCTTGTAAGGTGAGGACTTTAGCCACTAGGCTACTGTACCGAGCCCTAAAATAAACAAATAAATAAAGCTCTCTTCCAGGGCCCTAAAGGCAGGGGGGCACCTCCGCTGAGAGCGCTCAGCCAGCCCAGCCCACCCAGGCCCACTCAGGATCAGCCCTGGCTTGGGTGACAACTGTGCCACTCCTTCCTGTGATGTGGGAGCTGCCTCTGAGAGGGGCCCTGGTTCCCCAGGGTGTCTAGAAGCCAACAAAGGATATCTGGCAGGTGTCTCCTTCAAAGTGGAGAGGAAGTTGCTTCGCTGAGAGCCTGGGGAGAAAGGCGCAGGCAAGCATGTAGCTCAGAGGGGCCGTGACCACAGTCTCCCCAGCTGCTCCCCGCACCCCCAACTCACGTAGCGTCAGGTGGGTGACCACGCAGGCGAAGATGAAGGCCGTCAGGAACGAGAGGGAGAGGATGAACGCGTAGAAGAAGCGGTAGTTCCGTTTCCCCACACAGTTGCCCACCCAGGGGCAGTGATGGTCAAACCGCTCTGGAAAAGGGCGATGGGGTGAGGGTGGGTCAGTGTGGGTCAGGCCTGGGGCCAGCAGCTCTGCCTAAAGGCCACACCCTCACTCCCTGCTCTAGCTGCACAGCCACTTCCTTAAGAAAGTTTTCTTGACCCTAGACTGGGACAGGTCACCCCTTACCTGCCCCTGTCACTTGTGTTTTGCAGTAATGTTTGGTGTGTATTGGCAGGTGTAACTACAGCAAACACACCGGCTGCTTTCCCAGCTCAGCTATACACTCCAGGGGGACAGAAGGAGGCCTGCATGGACCTCCCAACCTGCTGCACCTCCCCCACCCACACTAATTCCTGACTGTAGAACTAGAGGCCCGAGAGGGGCGGAGCCGTTACAGAGCTCAGGGATAGCTGGCATCGCCAGGGCTGAGCTCACACCAGTACTATGACCCTGGGGTGGCGTCACTCCCACCCAGGCTGGTGAGGAAAGTTCCAGAGGAATGTGGGTCACAAGTCCGTTGCAGGCTTTGTGCCAAGGCCAGCACGCTGGCAGGGTGTGGGTGGGACAGAGTCTCAGAGAATGAATGACACCCATTGAGTCACCCACACTGTCATGGGGTGTTCCCATCGCTCTCAGCGCCTGCTGAGCTGGCATGGTGAGCTCACTGTGCACCGTCACCGTGGCTCAGCTCACCTGGACCCTTCCACACAGTCCTGTCCTGGGACCACCCTGGGTCAGCATCCAGCCCTCAAGTATCCTCTTTATGTTAGTGGCTGCAGAGTCTTGTCCCTTACAAGCCCTGACAATCCAATCAAAGACTTATAGAGCTGGCTTGTGGCCCCTGGAGAGTAAATCGAGCATTCTAGCCCAGGCACACCTGGAATATGCTCACCCCAGACTCTGGGTCCTGGGCACCTGGACTCTCCTAGGACCAGGCTGGAGTCTGGAACAGGGCTCATGGCCTGGCTGTGTCCACTGCATCCATCAAAGCTGGGGAGAGGGCACCTGCCAACCCAGAAGCCGCTAACTGCCCTCAGAGCTACTCAGCCAGGGTAAGTCTGCGACAACCTGACGTCCAGGTCAAACACCAACAGGCCCAGCCAGGTCTTGGTCTCTCGGGACCCTGCATTCTCTACCTCCACTCACCCACGCAATTGTCGCAGACGCTGCAGTGGGAGGTCCGGGGTGGCCGGAACATCTTGCAGGTGAAGCAGTATTTGAGTTTCACCATCTGTCCATTGATCATCACCTCCCGCGTCCGAGGGGGCGGCCGGTACGTGGAACTGCCTGTGTTGTCTGAGGAAGAGAAAGATGGGATGCTCAAAGCAGCCAGGCCGGGGGCTCTGGGAAGCGTGAAGGGGAGCTGCGGCTGCCTGGCAGGCCAAAGGCACGGACGGTGAGAGTTGCTACCAGTGACAGACTTCCTACTGGCAGGCTCTGTGCTTGCCTTTATCCACCTGCTGGCCTGCCACAGCCCTCAGGAGAGCTCTTGCAGCAGACCCCAGGAAAGCCTGGAAGGTTGTTGCAGGATATGGGGCTTGGCAGATGGAAACAACCACATCGGGAACATGGGACATCTCTGGGACCCCGGGTCTGATCTCTAACAAAAGTCAGCATGGCTAACAAGCACAGAGGGAAACCAAACCAATGGAATACATGACCCTGGAGTAAGTCTTTTTTTAAAAATGTATTTATTCATTACTTAATTTGAAAGGCATGGCAATAAAAACAGAGACAGAGAGAGAGAGATCTTTCATCCATTGGTTCATTCCCTAAAAGGCTGCAATAGTCAGGGATGGACCCAGCAGCCAGGAACTCTATCTGGGTACAGCAGTAGCTTGACCCACAGTGCCACAAGACCGGCCCCTACTGCATTACAATCTTTCTCACTCTTCTATGTGTTTGAAAATTGTTGATAAAAAGGCATGTAAAAGAAAAAGAAATTCAGGGATAGGTACTGTGGCTCAACAGGCTAATCCTCCATCTGCAGGTGCTGGTATCCCATATGGGTACTGGTTCACATCCCAGCAGCTCCACTTCCCATCCAGCTCCCTGTCTGTGGCCTGGGAAAGCAATCAAGGATGGTCCAAAGCCTTGGGACCCTGCACCCACGTGGGGGATTCGGAAGAGGTTCCAGGCTCCTGGCTTTAGATCAGCTTAGCTCTGGCTATATGGCCACTTAGTGGATGGAAGATCTTTCTTTGTTTCCCCTTCTCTCTGTAAATTTGCCTTTCTGATAGAAGTTGCCTTTGAAAAAAAACAAAACAAAACAAAAAACCAAACAAATGTAGAGTTATAGTGATTTTGAAAGACTGGATATTATAAAAAGATTTATTCACCCAAAATTAATTCAATATAAGTCCAGTGGGAAAGCCCATCAGGTTCTTTCGTGGAAACTGATAAACTTGTTCTAAAAGTCACATGAACAGGCAAAGGACCATGACTGGTCAGATAGCTGCTGAAGAATAAAGCTGGTGGACTCCAACTATCACAGACCTGCTAGGACAGCCTGATGTGGGGACATGGATAAAGATGCTACTGGACAGAAAATCTTCCTCTCTGTCTCTCTTCCTCTCTGTATATCTGCTTTTCCTAATTAATTAATTAATTAATTAAAGAAATAATGGATGAAGGCCAACCACAATGCCTCAGTTGGCTAAATCCTTCCCCCTCAAGCACTGGGATCCCATAAGGGCACCAGTTCATATCCTGGCTGATCCACTTTCCATCCAACTCCCTACTTATGGCAATGGGAGATCAGGCAAGTCCTTGGGTACCTGCACCCATGGGAGACCCAGAAGAAGCTCCTGGATCCTGGCTTCAGATCAGCTCCACTCCAGCTGTTACAGCCAATTGGGAAGTGAAACAACAGATGGAAGATCTTTCTGTCTTTCCTTCTTTCTGCAAATCTGCTATTCCAATAAAAGAAAAATCTATTTTTTTAAAGAGTTCATGGATGAATACATGTGAAGTGAAAACGGCAAAGCTATGTTTACAAAATGCATGGTGTGCTCACTAGCTACGGAATTGTGGGAACAAGCGTCGAGGCGTAGGGGAGGGACAAGGTAACCAAGCGCAGGGCTGAGAATCCCCATTACTTTGTGTAACATCCCAGACTGACACCATCCACACCTTGTCCGCATTACTGCTAAGACTGTTCAGGAAGGCTGAGCAACCTGCCCATGGCCACACAGCCAGGACTCAGAATCAGGGTGTGTGCCCAACTTTTCCAAGTTTGGGTTTGAGCTCATTAGCAAATGTTCAGTGTTAAGATGGTTTGTCCCTTCTTCTTTTAGAAAGATTCACTTATTTGAAGGGCAGAGTAGTTTTAGAAGAGATAAAGATCTATTGGTTCACTCTCCAAACAGCCCTCACAGCCAAGCCTGGAATTCCACCCAGGTCTCCCAGGTGGGTGGCAGGGAGACCCAAGTACTAGAGCATCGACCTGCTGTCTCTCAGGGCGCACACTGGCAGGGAGCTAAGTGGGAAGTGGAGGTGGGACCTTCACACAGGCTGTGGGCTTCTCATGCGGTGGCTGAGCTTGCTGAGCCCCAGGGCACACCCTAAGTTGTCACGGCCTACTACTGTGTAGTGAAGGGATCTGTGCATTGCACTTGATCTTCCTAACTAGGCTGCAGGTTCCTTAAGAACAGGGATGGTGGGACATATGAAGAAGCAAGCAAAGAGGACAGAAGACTAACCCTATCAAGAACAAAAGTCCTGAAGGGCTGACAGAATCTAGAAGTAGCACCCATATAGGAACTGGCACCTACGTTCTTATTTGCAGCTGTTCTCAGGCAGGGTAGAGAGGGAAGGAGCCCTCCCCATTTGAGAACAGCAGGTGGAAATCCTGTTGGAATCCGATCTACTTGCTACTTCACTTCGCCACCCCTGCAGTGTGGAGGAGCCGGCCTGGGCTCACAGAGCTGCAGTGAGAGCGAAGGACAGCTGCAGACACAGCGCCAGTCATGGGAGCCCTGGCCTTGGTCCTGACCAACGACCTCGGGCTCCCAGCTCTCCGCAAAGTGGCTGATGCTGCTCCAAGCCAAACCCCTAATCTGGCTCCACTGGTCCCCTGCCCTGTTTCCTGGCCTGGGACACGGGCTCTGGAGCTGGTCAGACATGCGGCTGTCAACATCCACCCAACCACACACTGCCTGAGTCATCTGACTTCCCTGACTTCCAAAACACAGGCCTGAGAAAAGCCAAACCCTCCTCAGTAAGACCAGCCCACCAGGCACGAGAGCTGAAGCTACACTGGCTGTTGTTATTCCTGAGTTTTGTAAGGAACACTGCACTATGAACCTTCAGAATACAACCCACTGTGAGTGACACGGCCCCTCTTCAGCATGGAGAGAAGTTCCTGGAAGTTCTCTGGTCCCCAAACGTCTTCTCCAGGGAGGAAGGGACCGTCTAGCAGTGTGTTCTGGTCTTGGCAGTCAGCTTCCTGGCTCTCAGCACCCCATGGGAGGAGAGAAACACGGCATACACTGCCAAGAGCCAGGGAGGCTTCTCACCAGAGCCAGGGTGCCACTCAGGAGGTTCCCAAGGCAAACCAGCCCTGCCAATTCTCAGGCCAACACTGGCCAAGCACCAGACTCAGCCTCAGAATCCCCCCGACAGCTCCTCCCCATAGCCAGTGCCAAGGGCAGCTTGCCAAGTGCCTGGAGTGGCTCCTTAAGTTTCCTAAAATAACCTTCAAAGGGGACTGACAGCCCCTGTCTCACTGGATCTCAGAGAATGGGTGCTGTGTGCTGGGCAAGGGGACATAGCTTCCCATTTTACAGATGGGAAACCCAGTTCATTCCAGGTGTAACCTTTGTCTTCTACAGAATTTGTTTGTTCTTTCAAACACTGGGGCTTGCTACATGCATGATACTATTTAAGGCTCTGGAATAACAGATAAGGAACAAATACATACAAAGAAGTCACAGATATTTGCTTTGGGGTAAATATTAAGATGAGACCCGGGACACTGGCATCGCACATTGGAAAAGTACAGCGGGCTCAAGTACTCACTCTGCTTTTAAGTTCAGCTTCCGGCTAATACCCAAGGAGGCAGAAGACGATGCTTTAAACAGCTGGGCTGGCGTGGTGGCTTACCAAGCTAATCCTCTGCAGCTAGAACCTGCACCTAGTCAGCATCCTGTATGGGTGCAGGTTCTAGTACTGGCTGCTCCATTTCCAATTTGGCTCCCAGCTTACGGCCCGGGAAAGCAGGCTTTCCTTGAGGATGGCTCAAGTTCTAGGGTCCCTGTACCCACATGGGAGACCAGAAAGGCAATCCTGGCTCCCAGCTTCAGATCGGCTCAGCTCTGGCTGTTGCGTCTATTTGGGGAGTAAAACAGCAGATGGAGACCTCTCTGCTTCTCCTCATGAGAGAATGCTAGATGAATCCTGTCTCCAGGCTTTAGTCTGGTCCAGCCTTAGACGCCACAGGTGTCTGAGGAATGAACTAGTGAATGCAAGGACACTTTCTGCTCAGCCGGGCTGCTCCTCCAGGAGGAAGCAGACATTGTCATGCTCGCAGGGCCTGCCCACTCCCCCATCCCTTCCAGATGAGAAGCCACAGCCTCCGAGGGCATGGTGGCAAGCGCAGGTGCTCATGCTCATGAGTGACTGTGAGAAGCAAAAGGATCTCCTCTACTTCTTTGTGACTGAGGGGCGGGTCGTGGATCTTCTCAGCCCAGGACAGCCCTGGGGGAGGGCATGCAGTCAGAGCCTGAGTGGCCAGGGCTGTCCCTAAGGAGTCGAAGTGATGGAGGCCCCGAGTGCCCACAGCCTTCTGCAGGGCTACCTGTGGCGGAAACAGCTGTGAGATTGTGGTCTCCTAGATCCCAGGGCCAGCTCCGGTCAGCCACAGGCCTGGAATGGGTCCCTGCCGGAGTCCCATGGCCCAGCAAGCTTAAGAGCCAGAGGAGCAGAGGATGACAGGGTCCAGCAGGAGCCCTGGGAGGCCAGGCCTCCAGGTGCGGGCTCTGCTCAGCCCCATCTCCTTCTGAAACCAGGCCTGGCCTGTGACTGAGGAAGCTGCTCAGCCTCTCTGAGCCCCAGTTACTTTCACCTCTAAAATGGGTAACAATGTCACCCCCTGTGAGGTTTTAGGTAAATTAGACAGGATACACTCTCAAGTTAATGATGACATCTGTACTCAAACAGAGGGGCCTATGTGGGTGAGGGGCAGGAGGGAGCATTCAAGACATCAGGAAACTAAGCTGGGAAATCAGAGGAGGAGGGGGCAAGAGAGTGGAAGGAACCCAGGGCCCAGCGCGACTGGGGACGCTGGGGAGCGACTG